TTCATATTAACTATTTTAAGGTGCTTGTTAACTATATTCAGGTTCATGTTAACTATTTTAAGGTGCTTGTTAACTATATTCAGGTTCATGTTAACTATTTTAAGGTGCTTTGTTAACTATATTCAGGTTCATGTTAACTATTTTAAGGTGCTTTGTTAACTATATTCAGGTTCATGTTAACTATTTTAAGGTGCTTGTTAACTATATTCAGGTTCATGTTAACTATTTTAAGGTGCTTGTTAACTATATTCAGGTTCATGTTAACTATTTTAAGGTGCTTGTTAACTATATTCAGGTTCATGTTAACTATTTGAGGTGCTTGTTAACTATATTCAGGTTCATGTTAACTATTTGAGGTGCTTGTTAACTATATTCAGGTTCATGTTAACTATTTGAGGTGCTTGTTAACTATATTCAGGTTCATGTTAACTATTTTACGGTGCTTGTTAACTATATTCAGGTTCATGTTAACTATTTTACGGTGCTTGTTAACTATATTCAGGTTCATGTTAACTATTTTAAGGTGCTTGTTAACTATATTCAGGTTCATGTTAACTATTTTAAGGTGCTTGTTAACTATATTCAGGTTCATGTTAACTATTTTACGGTGCTTGTTAACTATATTCAGGTTCATGTTAACTATTTTACGGTGCTTGTTAACTATATTCAGGTTCATGTTAACTATTTTACGGTGCTTGTTAACTATATTCAGGTTCATGTTAACTATTTTACGGTGCTTGTTAACTATATTCAGGTTCATGCTAACTATTTTAAGGTGCTTGTTAACTATATTCAGGTTCATGTTAACTATTTTACGGTGCTTGTTAACTATATTCAGGTTCATGCTAACTATTTTAAGGTGCTTGTTAACTATATTCAGGTTCATGTTAACTATTTGAGGGTGCTTGTTAACTATATTAAGGTTCATGTTAACTATTTTAAGGTGCTTGTTAACTATATTCAGGTTCATGTTAACTATTTTACGGTGCTTGTTAACTATATTCAGGTTCATGTTAACTATTTTACGGTGCTTGTTAACTATATTCAGGTTCATGTTAACTATTTTACGGTGCTTGTTAACTATATTCAGGTTCATGTTAACTATTTTACGGTGCTTGTTAACTATATTCAGGTTCATGCTAACTATTTTAAGGGGAAAAATTGCTTCAAGGCCCCAAAATCCAAAAAGTCATGTGACCCAGCCCCTCATACTTTTGGTTATGTGCTGCAGCCCCAAAATTTTGAATTTTTTTTGCCCAAACCCCTCTATCATGACTCCAGCTCATGTTTTCCTAAAAAACCCAATTTTACCCCTCCCAAAATCACTGTCATCTTCCCCCCAAAATCACACTTCTTCCTCCTCTTCCTTCCCCATCTCCTTCCTCCCTCCTCTGTCTCCTTCCTCCGCCGCTTCGACTCCCCCCCAGTCCTATTCCTCCGCCGCTTCGACTCCCCCCCAGTCCTACAAGCGCTTCGTCAAGTCCTTCCGCCTCCTCGACGGCGACTCCTCCTCCCTCGTCGCCGACTGCTTCCGCGAGGTCCGCCTCATCTCCAGCATTCCCGCCGTCAGCAGCACCAAGCGCCTCGAAATCTTCGACGACAAGAAGAAGGTCATGAGTTTTAGGATCGTGGGAGGCGAGCACAGACTGAGCAACTACAGGTCATGAGTTCTAGATTCAAGGCAACCCTTTCTTCCAAATTTTAGTCATTAATATGTACTACAAATGTGGGTGCTTGATCAATGCCCACAAAGCGTTTGATGAAATGCTTGTTAAAGATGTGGTCAACACGGCTGCGCTTATAACTGGTTACTCACAGAATGATCATCCTAAAGAGGCATTGGAGTTGCTTCCTAAAATGCTCGTACTTGGATTGAAAACTAACGAGTTTACTTTTGCGAGCCTTTTGAAGGCCACTGGTTCTGCTGCAAGTGTTGGAATTAGGGGAACAATTTCATGCTTTAAGTGTTAAATATTCTTGCAACTTGAATGTGTTTGTTGGGGGTTCATTGTTGGATATGTATGCACGTTTTGGGAAGATGGATGAGCCTTGTTTTGTGTTTGATCGGTTGGATTCCAAGAACGAAATCCCATGGAATGCTCTAATTGCTAGATATGCAAGAAAAGAAGAAGGCGAGAAGGCTCTTAAAATGTTAACTATTTTACAGTGCTTGTTAACTATATTCAGGTTCATGTTAACTATTTGAGGGTTCTTGTTAACTATATTCAGGTTCATGTTAACTATTTAAGGGTGCTTATTAACTATATTCAGGTTCATATTAACTATTTTAAGGTGCTTGTTAACTATATTCAGGTTCATGTTAACTATTTAAGGGTGCTTATTAACTATATTCAGGTTCATATTAACTATTTTAAGGTGCTTGTTAACTATATTCAGGTTCATGTTAACTATTTTAAGGTGATTGTTAACTATATTCAGGTTCATGTTAACTATTTTAAGGTGCTTTGTTAACTATATTCAGGTTCATGTTAACTATTTTACGGTGCTTGTTAACTATATTCAGGTTCATGTTAACTATTTGAGGGTGTTTGTTAACTATATTCAGGTTCATGTTAACTATTTTAAGGTGCTTGTTAACTATATTCAGGTTCATGTTAATTATTTAAGGTGCTTGTTAACTATATTCAGGTTCATGTTAACTATTTTACGGTGCTTGTTAACTATATTCAGGTTCATGTTAACTATTTTAAGGTGCTTGTTAACTATATTCAGGTTAATGTTAACTATTTTACGGTGCTTGTTAACTATATGCAGGTTCATGTTAACTATTTGAGGGTGCTTGTTAACTATATTAAGGTTCATGTTAACTATTTTAAGGTGCTTGTTAACTATATTCAGGTTCATGTTAACTATTTTACGGTGCTTGTTAACTATATTCAGGTTCATGCCAATGGGAGAGGAGACTTCAAACTGACATCTAAATGGCAAAGCAAGCTCTTTGTGATGCTTTATCCGTTGAAAGGAAGCCTGAAGCTTTAACATGTTATCTGTGTAACTTAACAAGCTACCAATAAAAATTAACATGTTACATGTGTAACTTAACAATCTACCTGTGAAAGTTAACATGTTATCTGTGTAACTTAACAAGCTACCAAAAAAAGTTAACATGTTACCTGTGTAACTTAACAATCTAACAGAGTAACTTAACAAGCTAACAAAAGTATTTCAATAGTTAATGACTTATATAAGTATTTAAATAGTTAATAGGACAAATTTGTGCATCAATTTTATATCACATTTTCATTATAGTTCACATCCCTACAAAAGTATTTCAGTTCATATACACAGTTACTACATACATACAAAAATATTTAGCTATTACATCTACGTTTAAGGCAAGATGAAAGCCAAATAACATTGTGCCTACTGAGGCACCAGATTAAGGAAAAGGCCCAGATGGAATTACATTAGTGTAATAATTCATAACTTCACAATACACTGATACTCATTTTCATCTTGATGCAACTAATCTGAAGTCTGGGGAGGATGTGGATTGTGGCAAGAGGATCTCTCTGTTGGGCCACATTGTGCAATTCCAGGTGGATGCCATAACCTAAAACAAGCCAAAAAAACCCAAAACAATCAATCTTTTCCCCTCTTTTTAATATTTATTTATTTATTGAATTTAACTGGAAAATCAATGAGAAATACCTTGAAGGCAATGCAGTCATGGGTTTTGTTGGATAACAGGACATAACACGAGATCTCCTTCTCTAACTCAACTAATTAAACCAAAAAAAACATGAAATTAGACGAAGAACTGAACCCGACAAGATGAGGGTGGCCGATGTGGTGGTGGTGGCGGAGTTGAGGAGGCTGTGGAGGATGACCCGAAATGTTGAGGAGGGGCACGACGGGTGCTGGAGCGGCGACGGCGGCGGCTGCGGCGTTGAGGGAGGTGATAACACCTTATGAGGCGGCGCTGGAGTTTGAGAGAGAGGGAGTGGAGTTGGACGAGACGAAGAAGAGCGGAGCAAGAGGAGGAAGAAGGAGAAGATCTGGAGAAGAAGAAGATCTAGAAAAGAAGAAGAGGGGTAGTTTGGGGATTTATTTTCTTGGAAATTGTAATAAGGACTGAATCACATAGAATTTTCATTTTTGGGGCTGCAGCACATAACCAAAAGTATGAGGGGCTGGGTCATATGACTTTTTGGATTTTGGGGCCTTGAAGCAATTTTTCCTTTTTTTTTTCCTTTGCGCTTTCTTATGTTTTGCATCCGTATAAAAATCTATATTAGAGGACTGACAAACTGAGGGACCAAAGACGACATTGTATAAAATAATCAGTAATTTATATTCGAAATTATGATGACACTATCAAAAAAATAAAAAAAAAATGATACTTTAAGTGTAGTCAGCTTATCTATCATTAGTGGTGCTTACATTTAGATAGCCCCTATCTCAGATACAACCTCCCCGTGTTGCTACTGCTAAAACTTAGTTTTTGAGCAATACTTAGATTTGTTTACGGGAATCACGAGTAGTTCTAGTGTTAAATAAAAGGTATGATGTAGCTAAGATGGATTAATCTATAAATTTTTATTTCTTTAATACTTGTTATGTAAATGCACTTAATTTGTTGGCGAGAGTTTGTCCTGATTCCTAAGAATATTCCAAGTGTAACTGCCATGTTTGGCAAAAGGTTAAATATATGAACATTCCCAATATTGCAACGGTGTTGTTGCGTAGTGTTATAGTTGTGGTTGTTTGGTTCAATTTTAAAAATCTGTCCAAGGTCGTTTACAACTCACAGTTACGACTATTTTTATTATTCACTGATATTAAAACTTATTATGTAATTATTTACTTTTTTTTATTTTATCTTTAATTTCAAAGTCAAGTTCAAATCTTGACACAAAATCTTAGCTCCTATTTACCCACACAAAGGAGGACAAACATTTTATAATGTTACGCATACAATGTTAGCTCCTATTTACCCACACAAAGAAGGACAAACATTTTATAATGTTATGCATATGTTTATATATGATATCCTGAGACGATGTACATCTAATATCTACACTCAAGCACAAACATTTTATAATGTTATGCATATGTTTATATATGATATCCTGAGACGATGTACATCTAACATCTACACTCAAGCACAAACATTTTATAATGTTATGCATATGTTATATATGATATCCTGAGTCGATGTACATCTAATGTCAACACTCATCAAATACAATTAACAAAATTTTCCCGGATCTCTTTCTTCGTCTTCTCCTTTGCCGTATTGGCATTGATATGGAATGATGAGAGGAGAGTTCGCAAAAATTAGATACTCTGATGCATCTCAAACCCAAATCCCTCCTTAACAAGAGCACTAATCACCCATAACTTCAGTGAAGAAGCACTCATCATCATCTTTTCTGTTCCTTTTACCTGTATATTTCAAAAAACAAACCAACCAATTTCATTAATTCCATAGAGCCAATTTGAGAAGAGTAAAAAATCAAGGATTATCTGCGATTCATCACTCATATCATGGGAGCTAGTATAGCTATGTATTTATCATTCACATGTTATATTTTATCAACACATTTCCATTAGTTTTTAAATGTTTGTGAGAATCACATGAGAAACTAGACATTTATCAAGACCGTTCTCAGATAATTCCCATTTGAGTTAAAAAAAAGACTAACAATAAAATGCACTCATAATTAAAATCAAATAGCGCGTGCTAATAAAATAGATCATGAACCATAAGCAACTACTTCTCTATATCTATGAGAAAATAATGAGAACTTACATCCAAGGTTAGTGTTAGCATGAATCTATCACAGTGGAACGAGAGGTCAGAGTTCTGTACATGGAAGCATTCAAAGGACTCAATGGCACTGTACAGAGCTGATACAGCTCCATCTCTCTTATTGCAATCCATCCTTAAATAGAATGTTCCTTCACCAACTTCATGAGCCATCACATTCAGCATTTCCCCCCCAAATTGCTTCTTCTTTTTGTCGTAACACTCTTCAGTTTGCTTAGCCCTCAAATTATCAATTGGAACTCTGAAGAACATTTGGTCCTCTCTTGATGTTGGTGATGATCCAAGAAATGATATCTCATCTGCTAACTTCTTAGCTTGATCTTTGAGGCTCTGCACATAAACTATCGCGTCGCCAATGATTGAGGCTTTGTCCATCTAGAAAATACAATTACAAGTTTGAGGATGTATGAATGTTGAGGAGAAGAAAAATATCGGTCAAAAGGTTATTTACAAATGCACCATATCTACTATATATATGATAATGTAGCTAATTGCCATTTGTGTTCTATTTTATTTACAACATATATATTTCTTAGATTCCTGGAAGATGTTATTTTTTCCATTAGTTTTTAAACTCATATTGAAATCTAGTGGTAATTAATGTTCTCGGAAAATGTCTAACTCTGACCATCACATACGTGATTTGGAGAGCAAATTTAAAAAATAACAAGAAAACCACAACCGGGTGGATATGTGCAAATAATACCGAACATGAACGATAAATAGGTATATCTCTTTAGTAGTTAAAGAAGAGATGCATATTGTAATTAACAAAATAAAATGAAAATGAGAAAGATGATAACCTTGGTTATGTTAGGGACTAATGATCTCAAAGCATAGAGCTTCTCCTTCATCCTACTCCTCCTACTCCTCTCGGCCACCAGAGTCTTTGAGCGGTCCCTCTTACACTTCATCCTTTTCCTTGAAGAACTGCCTTCATCATAATTTTGCTTGCGATCCTCCTCCTCCTCCTCTAGGCTCAAGTTGTAGCTAGCAGGAGATTCTCCCATTGCATCTGTTGGCAAATCAATGCCAAAATCAAGCACATTGTCAAGAACACTAGTTTCAGGGAGCTCGAAGCCACCAAAACCTTGATTAGTATTCCAAATTATTGGATCAAACCCATCATTTGAGTGCAAGTAAGTTTGAGTTGAGAAGAAAAGTTGTGGGTGGTCCATTTTCTTAAGTATAGATAATAGCTACACAATCGGGTTATGAGTTCTCGTTGCGTGGACACACGTTAAGCTTATATAGGGAACGGGTACAAAATGTGGAAGGAATCGATGATTGGGATGTATGCTTCTCCTAGTGTGAACGGAATCAAGAGGTTGATGAGTGTTTAGTATTGTTAGTGTTAAATAACCTTTTTAAAAGTTAATCAGGGTTAAGCTTGAGATTAAAACAATAAGATAAGTAGTTACGGTGTCCCTGATAGTTGGAACGCTTACTAGTCCGTTGCTGCACGTGGATGTGGGGTAAGGACGCGTGCTAGCCACAACCCTCACCAATTTTAAAAAAAACCCTCAACTAGGGGGTTATCTCATAAAACCCTTCGCAACTATTTTAACTATTTCCCTTAACTTTTAAAATATGACTTGAACCCCTTCTGCTATGAGGTGTCTCGCACTTTATTTTCATAGTTTTCTCAAATAAGCCACTAGCATTATTAAATTAAAAACTGTAATGACTAAAAGAGCTTTGTTTGAAAAGAAATTAACTGATATGGAAAAAAAACAAAATTAAAAGAACCTACAAATTTTTATTTTACAGAAGAACCCACAACTATTAGTCTTGAATTCAATGTGTTTTGATGAGGGAAACACCATCATGAAAACAAACCCCAATTTTTTTATTTTTTTTTCAAACATTAGAAGCATGAATAGATACAAAACAAAAGAAATTTAAATTTTCAAAAGAAGAAAAAAATAATTTTGGTTTAGATCTGGACGTAGCACTGACTCTAGAGGAAGAAGAAGAGGGGAAAATACTAAAGGGAGGTACTTTAACAAAAAAAAAAAATTAAGAGAGAATAAGATTATAAATTCTTAATTTCTTAGGGGTGGTATGCTCATTTTAAACTATGTGATCGTCAAGTGTTTTGTTAGATTTAATTTGGGTTTTTTTTTGGCAGGGGTTGGGGTGGGGGGGTGGGGGGGTGGGGTGGATAAGTGAAAAAAGTTGAGGAGGCCTAGGGATTTGCTAGAGTGAAAATAATTGAGGGGTTTTTTTGAGACAACTCTATAGTTGAGGGGGTTTTCAAAAAATAATCTGAAATTTTTAGATGATATATATCCTTATTCATATGCAAAAAGATATTATATTTAAACTTTGATCCAAAGATTGGGATTTATGAGTTTAGGTTCTTGATATATAGCCATTGGTGATGACTACATGTCAAGCACCTTATCTTTTATACGTGGAATTTATTACTTTCACTTGTGTGTTCATGTGTTGATGACTAATTAATCTGCACTTATATGTCATAAAGAAAAATATTAAATACTATTAGTACATGTATTTTACATTTTTGCCATCATACAGTAATTAAAAGTGCAGTTACAGGCCAAATTCTTAATTAACAATCATTTAATGAGTAATATTCTGCCTTAGCTACACCAACGCTTTAGAGGAGCTCTCCTAACACATTGTTATTGAGTAAATAAACCTTCAAGTTGCTAAAAAAACCTATGTTTTTGACACGTAGCAACTAAGCAAACATGGGGAGGGTGGATCTGAGGCAGGAATTATCTGAATTATAAGCAAAACGGTAGATAAGCTGACTGGTTCACAATAATTAATAAATATAAAGTTTTTTTTATCCAATCACCACATTTCAAGCATAAATTAGTGATTTTTTTTATATATGTTGTCAATTTTGGTCCCTTGATTGATTGTTCTTTGGGTGGACGCGAGAGTGAAAGTGAACGTCACGGTGCATTTTTATATGGTAGAACAATATAAGAAAATGATGAAAAGATAAATGAGAAAATGTCATCCAATATCAAATTTATTGAAGATATGATAAACTTTGAGTTCTTATTATATCGCCATATAAAGCATACTTTTAATTAATTACTCTCCTCACTGCCTCCATATAGTTTTTAAGTGATTATTGTCACGTTCAAGGAATCAAGCCCTACAAACCTCAATTCTTTATTAAAAAAAACCAAAAATACTTTGAATAACTACTCTTTGAATACAATGCTTTTATAAACGTTCGGAATCTAGGATTTTGAAAATAATCTCTTAACTAACTAATGAATTAATGTTTATTCCAAAATTTTAATTAGAGAGTATAATCTCCAGATACCTAGGACTAACTCCATCTAAAATAATGCATAGAATCGTCATTTGCTGCGGCTGATCAAAACAGTTAGGAGGTTCTAATATGACTCTCATGGTCTTATGTTCGATTCCGAGCCGGGTTATCAAACAAAATGAAAAGAATGGTCTAGAAAAAGAAATAATTTTGTAAGTTAAATATTAAAGCTACGCTTGATTTGTAAAATACTTGTTTGGAAATATGCTTAAAACGGGGCCATGATTAATTCTGGCCTAATTTTCGGCTAAATTGGGTTGTGTTTGATCCATATGGGGGTGATTTGTAAAAGAACTTGTTTTAAACCTAAATTTTAACTTAAAAAGAAATGGGCGAAATCTAACCCTGTTTTAGATAAATACAAAAAAGTATCAAGGCTAGACCAGAACTGATTCTAGCTCAGTTTTAAAGAATTGCCAAACACTATATATTTTGCTATAAAAAAAGTTTTTGGGTTAGCAACACGGGAAGGTGATATCTGGCCTGGGGGTTATATGAAAACGCGACACATAAGTTGACTACTAAAGAATTATAAATCATGAACATTAGAAGTGATGCCCATTATCTAATTTTTATATGTTTTATTTTTTATTTCTTATTTTTTTTAATCAGAGGTCGTTGTCTGAGTTTTGCTGCTATCATCATATTCCAAAGCATAAATTACTCATTATGTAATTTTCTATGTATATTATATATCCAAGCGCTAACTCTGGTCTGTCTTGTTCGTTTCTGATTTAGGTAAGATCGAGTTATATTTCAAAGTTGTTTGGCTTGCAGAAAATTATAACCTTAGATTGAGAAAACAAAAAAAGAGCTATATATGTGCTTTGAACTCTATTACCACACATATTTAAGAAAAAAGAAATCAGTGATAAAAAATAAGGATACAAACTAAAATGAATTCTATGAGTTGCTTTTCATTGTGGATCAGCCTCCATAAATACTCGTAAATTAGAAAACCAATAATGATGAAGAATTACATTATACTTGAATCGCGTGCCTTCTAAATAACATTTGGATAAGATACAGATGCAAATATAAATACATAAAAGTAAAAACTCATCAAACGTAGCTCTAGAGGGTTGTGGTTTACACGTGCCCATACCCCCACATTCACGTGCAAGAACGGGCTAGCACATGTTCCAACTATTACGGAAATAGTCATCACGTTATTAATTTTTTAAATCTTTATATTCACCCTGATTAACCCTTAAAAATGTTGTTTAACACTAGTACTAACAACTCATCAACCTCTCGATTCCCTCCACACTAGAGAAAAAGCCATGTCCCAAAATGTTGATTCCTTTCAGATTCTGTACTCATGTTCCTATATAAACTAACTGGTGCCCATGCAATGAAATCATAACTTGATTGAATAGCTACTAGCTAGCTAAAAGATGGACCACCAACAACTTTTCTTCTCAACTCGAACTTACTTCGACTCCAATGATGAATTCGATTCAACTATTGGGAGCATCGATCAAGATTTTGATGGTTTCATGTTTTCTAATGCTAGTGTTGTTGATGATGCGTTTGATTTTGGCATTGGCTTGCCAATAGACACAATAGGGGAATCCCCAAGCTTTGACTTGAGCTTAGAGGAGGAGGGTTGCAAGCAAAATTATGATGAAGGCAATTCCTCAAGGAAAAGGATGAAGTGTAAGAGAGATCGTTCAAAGACTTTGGTGGCTGAAAGGAGGAGGAGTAGAATGAAGGATAAGCTCTATGCTTTGAGATCATTAGTTCCTAACATAACCAAGGCTATATTCTTTCTCATCACCCCCCAAAAAAAAATCTATTAGCGTGAACACCCCAAATTCCTATCATACACGTTTTTCAATCCCTCGGTATTTAAACTTCTTTGGGAATCATGTGATGGTCAGAGTTAGATATTTTCCACGAACATTACCATGTGAGCTAAATTTTAAGGGAAAATCCTAATATCATGAGGATAAGGGAGTATATATATATATGCTAATAAAACAGAAAATTTGTGATAAATAGCTAATATCCTTATAGTACATGACATGCATTTTCAAATAATGGTCTGCGTGAGAATGGATAATGCCTACATGTATACTCACATTTGTAATTGTATTATGCAGATGGATAAAGCCTCGATCATCGGCGACGCAATAGTTTATGTGCAGAGCCTCAAAGACGAAGCTAAGAAGCTATCGGACGATATATCAATTCTTGAGTCATCACCAACATCTAAAGATGACCAAATATTCCTCAGAGTCCCAATTGATAATATGGGGGTTAAGCAAACTGAACAGTATCACTACAAGAAGAAGCAATGTGGGGGGAAAATATATACTGAATGTGATGGCTCATGAAGTTGGTCAAGGGAGATTCTGTTTGAGGGTGGATTGCAATAAGAGGGATGGAGTTGTATCGGCTCTTTATAGTGCCGTTGAGTCCTTTGAATGCTTTCATATAGAGAGCTCTGACCTTTCGCTCAACTCTGATAGATTTGTGCTGTCACTGACCCTTGATCATGTGAGTTCTCAACCCTTTACAGGGATTTTTCGATTATTTATATATTTATCTATAGCTAATGGTTGAACATATACAGCACCGGGATTTTTAGCTAGCTTAGTGATTTTTTGGGTGGATCTGGGAGTTTTTAGATATCGTGGAAGCTATTGGTGAGTGGGTGACGACAAGGTCCGCTCCTCATTCTCATTATCTTCCTCTGATCTCTTTACACTTCCTAATTTTGTTAGATTGTCAGTCTGTAATAGAAACATGTTTCTCTTTTTCTATATATATTCATATCCAGGAGTAGGGTATCTCACCCTGCTTATTGTTCTTAAAAAAAATACAACACCGGGTTATGGGAGTCACCTCAAAATGTTCTTGACAAATGTCTAACTCAGAACAAACACGTGATTTTAACAAAATATAAATACTGATAAAGAAAATACACCCTCACAGGGGTAAAAGTATGTACAAGATAATAAAATTGAGGGTTGATTTTGGAAACATCTAACTTTGGGGGTTTTGCAGATAAGGCCCCCTCACTATTTTAATTCCACAAGACCACTTTGATCTTTAAGCGCTTTTGCACATAGCCCCCATGGACTTCTTTTTATTCCACTAAAACCCCTTAAAATTTTTCACTTTAACCCCCTAAAGTAACACCCTCAAGTATAACATGACCAGGAAAGACAGCATTAACGCCCCTCAACCATCAAAATCAAAGGGAACAAGTAGCCACATCTCAAAGCACATGAATTGTATCCGTAAATTTCTTCTTGGCTGATTGGTTTGTATTTGAAATATACAGGTTAAAGGAGTAGGAGAGATGATGTTGAGTGCTTCTTCGATGAAGTCATGGGTGATGAGTGCTCTCGTTAAGGAGGGGTTCGGGTTTGATATGCGGCAGAACGTATTAATTATAGCTGACTTTAGTACTTAGTTCCATCTTCTTATTGTTGGTATATTAGCTAAAAATACTACTATAAAACTAAAAAAAACAAGCTTTGAAGATGGAAGGGAACTTCTCTTAGTGTGATAGAGGTGTGCGGAAGCAATGTCCGTAAGAGTAGATTTAGCCTCTATGAGATTATCTCTCGGTGAAACAGGTTATTGGCGGCCTACCCTCCAGAATTCAGTGATCGTCGAGCAAGCGTGCACTTGCAATGTTGTAGGCCCTTGAACAACTCTAATTTGTTTCTTCCTTAACAACTGAGAGGAGTAGAGAGTTTTACGAGAGGAAATCTGAGAATTTGATGAGAAGCTTGTTGTACTCTGTTGTACTTTAGAGGAGGAAGTTGTCGATTTCATAAAGCAAAAGAGATCTATATGAATCTTTCTACAACTGTAAAGTTTCTTGAAAATGCAAGAAATAGCTATTTTTTCTTGGGCAATGGAAGACTCAGCTTACAGGGCAGAAAGAAGTAATAATCACAATTTTTTTGAAAGAGAAAAACAGGGTGAGTTACCCTGTTCATATGTAATATTACTACGATAATGAGAATGTACAATACTAGGAGAGCTTAGTGGCAGACCCTGCAAATGGAGAAGAGAGGATTATCATGACTATCCCAACCCCCATTGCAAAAGGCAGCAACCAAGCTTCCGAACCCAAATACTAATATAGTCTCTGCTCAACTGTCAGTAACAAAATAAACCAACACAAAGCGAAGAGAACAACAGAAACATAACCATATAAAACTGAGTTTATAACTGATTACTGGAGTGAAGAGCTTCTGAGTCAGTTATCTGCCGAGAAGTTGTCACCAACTGCATCGTCCGCATTTGTTTTAGCTAGCTCCTTCAGTCTCAGGTTAGTGGCCGCCTTGAGTAGTTTGCTTGATAGTTTATTTGTTATTGTTCCTATCCAGAATAAGGTGTATCTAGCAACATTAGAGGCTGTTTGCTGAGGATTAGCTTGAATATCATTAAAAATAAGATTGTTGCGGCTGTTCCATATCCACCAACAGAAGCATGCATGGCAGCATTATTTTCCATAGAACTTTAAGGTCATGGTTGAACATGGGGTTTCTTTTGATAGAGATCAAGGAACTTATGTCCTGGGGCCAACACTCGAAGGATATATGAGGTACAAGAGTAGACCATGTTGAGGAAGAAAATGAACATCTGATGAACAGATGGTCCTGAGACTCTATGCCCTAATTGCATAGAGGGCAACATGGGTCACTTGTCTAACCTTTAGTTACAATATTATATTTGGTTTGTAACTTTTGTTCGTTGAGGATCCAAAAAAATATTTTAACCTTCGGAGGGATTGGAGATTTTCAAATAAAATTGAAGAGGTAGGATGAGGTTCCTCCGGAGTTGGTGATAGAGTAGAAGGATTGGACTGAGTGGTGAGGCCACCAAAGGCTATCCTGGTTGGAGCTTCCTGCTAGTATGAAAGGTTCCAGATGGGAGAGAAGAGCTAAGCTTTCAGTTCTATCCTCTAGAGTGATCCCTCTTCTGAGAATTGAATGTCAATTCCAAGAGTTGCGCATCATAATACCTTGAGAGTAGGTGGAGCAGAAGTGAGAGAAGGCTAAATGATGAGCTCTTAGGAATAGACTGCTAAGAGAGTTCACACTTGTTCATCTATCTTGCCAAAATCTACATGTTTTACCATCACCTACATTCCATTTAACATGACTAAAGAAAGTTTAGTGAATTGGGAATAAATCATGTATAAGTTTAGAAGTCGAGCCTTTGGGGAGATGAACAACAATGAAGTATAAGGAGGGCAAGAAAGAATTTTTTCTCTATTCACTTTGTCCGTCCAAATCGAAGGGATTTTCTACCTCTGCGCTCTCTAGTTCATTTTTGTATTTCTCTCACTTCACTCCACCTCATAATTCCATTCCTTTCTAAAACTCCCATACAAGTAAGAATTTTTACTTTTGTTCCTTTCTCTACATCACCTCTCCCCCTACCAAACTAAACCTTAGTATAATTTTGAAAGTTCATAGGGTTTACCGCAAAACACTGAAAATTCATGAGAGTAGTTTGGTCTAATCTACACCAAGACCTTAGTGGAACCTTCCAACCAATTATTAACTTGTTGTTATTGAGTAAACAAATCTAAAATTTTCTCAAAAACTAAGTTTTGACTTTTGAGTATGTAGAACATAAACAACGAGGGGAGGTTGGATCTAAGCTAGAGGCTATCTAAACATAAGCGAAATAAAAGGCCAACCTCTACACATCCAATAAGTTAAATATTAGCGATAACTAACCTCACATTGATTTTTCATCTTGAAATTAGTCTTTCAATCAAAATCATTGAAATTGTCATTTAGATCCCTCAATTTTTAAATTATTTTAAAATTAGTCTATCAAATCATGGAGATTACTATGTGGCATGTCAACTCCTATAAGTTGTTTCAAATTTATCCCTCCATTTGCTAATTCTACCTCCTATTTGAGGGATTAATTTCAAACTAACTTAATAAATAAAAATAGCACTTTCAATGATTTGAGAAAGTAATTCTCAATGTGAAAGAGTTAAGTGACTAATATGAAAAAAAAAACCCTAAAATATTGCTAGCTTACAAGTAACAAAGAGTTAAGTGACTTAATGCTTAGTTACTACCTTTAATTTGTTACTTTGATAGTGTCTTAAATAAACTTGGTGAAAGGAAGTGATATCTTAGGAGGTAATGTCGGACCAAATATAGTTTAAGGTTAGGCAGATGATAAATTCAATAGTTCGCGGGAGTATGTAGCACTAAAAAAAGCTTAGGAGATATGAAAAGGACAAATCTAATCTAACAGCTTAAAGGGCAAATAGAAACGAGCGCTTAAACATTGAGATTTTTTCCCCCTTAGAAATCATCTTTAAAATAAGGTAATTATACATAAACACCTTTCAATTTTAATTTATACGAAAACCATATTTAAAGTGGGTTTTTATTGCAATCAACCACCTCTCACTCAAATTTTCAGTAAAAAATCAAAATTACCCTTAAAATACTTACATTCAAGGCACGTGGCTATTTTTCTTTTTTTAAGTCTTTTTAGGATACGAGGAGGCACGTATTTTGGACTTGAATTTCTTTAAGTATATTTTTAATTTTTTCAGCGAAACTTTAAGCGAGAGGTGATTGATTAATTGCAACAAAAACCCATATTTGTGAGCATGTATAAACACAATATATCCAAGAATATCAAAGAAATAATTATTGTTATAAAATCTCAACGTTTTAATTCCATTTCATATTTGGCTTAACTTTAGGTTGTACTTTAAAATTTATTCTAATTCTAAAAATTAATAATTGCATAAGACTTGATGCAAATTATTATCAAAAAATATAATTTTTTTCTTATTATTCATTATTCACTTGTATTATTTACTCGTGCCATAATCAGGCACCATAATTCTCACAAATTATACTTTTGGGCTTTGTTCGTGTATACGACTACATAATTTAGTCTCTAAGATTCATAAACATATCATTTTCGGTATTGTGTGTCCTTTTTTATTTTTATGTTTGGTGTTGAATTCATTTTTTCTCATTTCATGTTATTATCCTTGTCCATTATTGGTTTGAAAAAATATAATATATTCAATGTTAGATTTTGTAGGCTAAATTTCATAATCTTTACTTTGTGCATTGTTTGCGCAGAAAATTTGTTATTATGATCTAATACGGAAATAGTTAGGGAATACATTGGTACAAATCATATTTGAGATAAAGCTTACCAACACCAATTTTTACTCTTTGTAAAAACCAATAATTTTTCTCAAGCGTAAAAATATATTACAATTACTTAACTCAACAAAGAACTAACATTATATCAAGGCATAAACATGCAAACAGATTTCTGTAAATAGACCCGTAAAACTCGTATATATTAGTTAACCGATATTATAAATTATAACCAATTTGGGATATGATATTTTATAGTTACTCAAATCTATTTGAAATTTAGTGTATTGAAATATGTTCACCAAATAACAAAGTAGTGATAACTTACCTGAGATATCCTTTCCCTTTATTTTTTTTTTAAAATCCAAAATCCTTTGATTTTTTTTTGTAACTGAAAATTTAGGCAATTAATTATCAAAAAATTAGACATTTTAATAAAGATGGACGGTTAAGATTGATATGGAAGGGTAAGGTAATAATTCAGTAAAGATGGACAGCTAAATAAATGTACACGTGACAAAAAAAATTTGAGAAGAGAAGAACTGACATGATAAGCTCTGAAAAGATTAAACTCTAAAATTTTTACTTCAAAGCATACATTTAATTATAAAATTAAAATTAAATGATAATTTTCATATAATTATCCTATTTTAAAGGGGGTTTTCTAGAGGAGAAAAACCCTATAAATTATGAATGGAAGAAGGCTGTAGAACATGGATAGACCGTCTATCCCTATACGGGCTTCAATCGACCCTTCATGGACTGGGCCAGGGCCTGTCGCTTTCTTCCATCACCTGCAGCCCAACCAGAAGAATTTAAGTATAAATATCGTTATTTTAAGGGTCTGTTCTGGTAATATTACATTCAATATCTGCAAAATCTCTTTTTGTGAGGGACTTTACTGTTTTGGTAATATTACATTCAATATCTGCAAAATCTCTTTTTAGGAGGGACTTTACGGTCTTTCAATGGCTTAATTACTGTCCGCTCTCGTTTAGTTTCGAGCATTTTGTTCGTGAAGCCGCCTCCGCACTCTCCGTACTCGCGATCTCCTCGGCCCCGGTAAGAATCAATTGGGTTTAGGGTTAGAGTTAGAGAGTCATTTGATTTCTATATTTTTACCAATTTCTTCGATTAGTTTTGGCGATTCTAAGGGTTTAGGGCTTTAATCTCAGTTTAATTTGCTGATTTGTGTCTGATGAGGGTTTTGTTCCGGGTAGATCGAGAATCATGTCTTATTGTTGGGTTGATTTTTTTTTCTATTTGATTGAAATCTTGTAGAATTTTGGATTAATCGGTTATTTTTCGATCTAGGTTTGGGATTTTTGAGGTTCTGTGCTAAAATTGAATCTTGGACCGGATCCTGTTAGAATTACTATCTTTTTGCAAGAGTTTCAGTGTCTTGGATGTGATGCCAATAAAGGTTCTTTTTTAGGGGAATTTATTCACTGTTTTTGGCATAATTCCGGTTTAAAATTGTCATTTCTTTGTAGTAAGAGTATAAAGCTGAAAATTTTACCCTTATTATTGGTTGTTTAGTGCAAAAGTTGGAATCTTGAACCAGTGTTTACTTTTCTTTTGGATTTATAGATGGATTGGCAAGGCCAGAAGCTCTCAGAGAAGATGATGGAGATAATGCTCGTCATATTCTCTGTTGTCTCCTTCATTGTTGGGTATACTATTGGGTCATTCCAAATGATGCTTTTTATTTATGCCGGCGGAGTTCTCTTGACTGCATTGATCACCATTCCCAATTGGCCGTTCTTTAATCGCCACCCTCTGAATTGGTTGGACCCGAGTGAGGCGGAGCGCCACCCGAAACCGCAGGTGGTTGCACCCTCAAAGAAGAAGGGATCCAAGAACCATCAGAAGTAGGGTTCATGTTGCAGGTTAGACTTGAAAAGATTTGTTGATGAGAAAATGACTGATCCAGTTGAATGCTTCTCTTAGTGGATTCTTATGGATTGATATTGTTCTGTGTTGCCAATTGAATTCTAAACTTTACATAGATTGCATGTTGCTTTGACATATTTGTTTTTCTATCTTCTGCTTGTGTTGAATATGCTTTGAAGCTCAGGAATTTAGTTTAGCATGGTCATCATATGTTTTCCATTTGATAGGATATGGTGTTTATGCAAAGTTACTTTTTGTGTCTAATGGTCATACTTCTGTCGAATGCCATAGTTTTGTTTCACAAGGCCAGTTGCATTCATGTATTCGCTCTTCGATTTCCGTGTTTGTTTGCATGTGATAAAAAACTATAAGCCTATGAGCCTCCTACACACTTTTGTATAAGAGTTGAGCACATTGACCCATGGTTCATCATGTGGCTTCATAGTCCTTATGCTCATTGATGCTGCATTGAACTCTCAAGTTATATAATTCTTATATGTATCGTCGGGTGAGAAAGGCAGGACAATCAATAGTTTCCATGCAAATTACACAAGCCTAATTATGGCTATTATTTATGCTTGATGTAGTTTTATGAGTTACAAGACTTACCAAGTTTGATCATGGAAGTGTAGAAATACAACTTCTTTGATGAGCAATGTATACCTGCTAGTGTTGAATAAAATATTGGTTATTAGTTAGGCTTTAGTCCGTACTTGCCCCCTACACTATAAAATTTATCCCTTATTAACCCCTGAACTAATTTTGGTCTTACTTTGCCCCCCCCGAACTTTTAAATAAGTCCTTCCTTACTCCTGAAATATTTTCAGCCCCACCTTACCCCTTGAACTTTCACTTTTTCTCTCAGAAATCCATTTAAAAGACCTGTAAAGTAATAAAATGAGAGGTCGTAAATAGGTGCTGAATTGATAGTTTAGGGGGTAAGCAGGGAACAAATCCATTAGTTTATGGGGGCATCTAGAGACTAAAAGTAGTTCATGAGGTGAGAAAGGAGGTAAGAAAGTACAAATTTAGTAGTTAGGAGGCAATTGGGCATGAAGCCCATTAGTCATTAAATTTAGATATTAGTTTTGTGTGGATTTCTATGGCGTCTAGAGACTAAAAGTAGTTCTGGAGGTAAGAAAATACAAATTTGATAGTTAGGGGGCAAGTTGGGCATGAAGCCCATTAGTCATTAAATTTAGATATTAGTTTTCTGTGGATTTCTATATTAGAATCTTGGACTGCTACTACTTTGGCGTTGCCTGTTTGATTTGTAGAATGACATCCTGTTCAAGTAGTAGGGTATGGTTTTTCTGTGCGATTTACTATTTTTTGTTCATTGTTGATATTGGGTAAGATAATTGTGTTTTCAAGTTTGTTTGACAGCAAGTTACATCTACTCAAATGATAACTTGAGGTAAAATCTTGTGATCTTGCTTCTCACCTTTTATGTTTGTTCTTTCTCTGGGAAGATTATTAGAGAGAGTTTTTTTAATTCTTTCCTTGAGTGCGTCTATATCGGATATGTTTTCAATCACTTTTCCATTACCTCTTATTTGGCAGATACTAGGGTGTCTCAAATCCAGTTCTTTTAGCTACATTTTGAGTAATTGCAAAGTTTTCTTTTATCTCTCAGGAAAGAATCTGCATAAATCACAATCTTTCGAGTTTGGGGTGATTCAAATTGAATACAACTGACACTTCAATTCCATAATTATTGCCTTTTTCAGCTCAGGAAATGAGAAATGTCCATAGTAGTTGTCAACTGTGAACCCATGAAGATATCCATCTTTAATCATGAAGAAAATGAGAGTATGGAATCCTTAGAAGAAAGGATTAAGTATCTAATATATAGCAGAGTTTAAGACCTGTGTACTGTAGTTTTCCAACTGATCATATGCAGATCATATAGCGTATGAGATTCAAACAGATGAGTGATACCTTCTTAGTTCCAAATATAGCAATACAACTGACAAATTACATAATACTTATCAACTTAAAGTTAAGTACAATAAAGACATGCTAAAATTCGTCTGCAATACCTTAATTAAAGATGGAATGCATGTAAAATTACATCAATGAAACTGAGTATTCTAGTCCATAATGCGATTGCAGGAAGAGTGGGAAGCTGTGCTTGCCATAGCTTGACATGCTATTTCTCGGGCTGGTAATAGTTTAACACATCAAACACTCTCTGTATCGCAGTAAATATGAAGACTAAAATAACCCCATAAATTAAATTTATAGCTGTTTCCGGATTCGAGAAATAAAGGGTTCTAAGATTTAGTTTCCATTGGTTCCACCTATTATAATAAAACTTACGGATCTCCATGGTGATGTCCTTGAGGTTGGCGGCTTCTTCCTTGTTATAATTCACTATTGCATCTTGGCAAAACTTTCTAAGAAACGAACAGCTTCTTCCTTAGATTCCAGTGCGTAGCCAACTCTTTGTTGCAGCAAGGTTAAATCTCCTTCTGGCTCAATGAGACAAGACGTGAGCATCACATAGGCTGTGATCTTACTCTTTACCTTGGAGAAGAAGAAATGTTGAGCAAAAGCAATCATGTTTTTCAAAGAAGAAGGAACTACTGTTGCTATGGAGCTGCACAAGTTCCCTTTATGTTACCCGTTATGTTCTTAAAATATACGTTCCGCAAGTTCCCTTTCTTTTTTGTTATCATTTCACACTTCCTTAAGTTGGAGGTGCTTGGAATCATCATCATCTCTCCAGCTTATGGCGATGCACCGTTGATATGTGTATTCATTAACTTCGGTACGAAGCTGCATCAAGTCTTCAACTTGTACATCATTTGACCCGTAACACTATCAATTCCATTCTTGGCCACCGTGAAATGCTCTCCAATGATACAGGAATGGAAGAGATGAAAGAAATGGTAAAAGAAAGGAATGTGGTTCTCGAGCATTAGCATATCATACTCTACAAGTGCTCTAGTCGACAGGCAACCTAAAATTGGATCTGCAACTCCACTATTATATTTTGCAAGCAACAAGAGTTTGACGATGAAACATCCATCAATACACATCATATCAACAAAATCCCTATCGCTCATGTTGAGCTCCCCCATACACCAACTTCGAGAGCAGGCTGTCGGGGATTCTTTTGAAACAGAACAGTCTGAGTTGATTCGTGAATTTGAAAATGGTGATGAGGACCGATGGAGATGAACTTAGGCTCATAGGCACTTGGATTAGTCTCCCTGATGAATTCAGGGACTTTGAAAATGGTGCTGGCAACGTGACCAAGATGGCCGGAGGAGCTTTCGAGCTTCTCCTTCCAAGAGCTCACCCGCTGCTCATCCAAAATTTTCTCAGTGCCCTTTGGGATCCCCATTGCCTCTTGTTTCCTTCTTTGAGGAATGTTATTTGGTTGAATATACAGATGAAGGCCTGGTTGAAAAATCATCCACATGCCAATTAGGAACGCAGTTAACCAAGACCTGTACAAGAGGTTAATGATCGCAGTGTTATCCCAGTTTAAGGTCGTTCTAGATGATTTCATAGCTCGTCAAGGATTAGGGTGAGTTCTTGGAAAACTCATTAGACAACTTTGCGAACGATTTAGACGAGCTATGAATGAGTTCTTGGAAAGAGAAGACTATTGAGTATGCCAGCTTATCCGGGCCTGATACAGGCATTTTTAGAGTGTCGAAACTTTAATAATAAGAGGGATTAATCCGAGGGCTAGCTTACCGGCCTAAATTCATCTCTGTTAGCCTGTATCGACACCCCCAGTTCGCAGCTCCAAGCTAGGGATGAGGTCGAATGGCTCTACTTCAAAAGAACCATTGATCACAGTCCTTGGTTTTGTTGGAGGACTACATGTTGTGCGCAGCGGAAATTTCGGCAGAGTTTCTGGTGCACAATTAGAGAGAAAGATCGATAAGAATTCCCGTCTCACCAAGGAAACAAGAATCTGAAGCGGATATCTCAACCAAGTGAGATATCGGCTCTTCCTCTCATCAGTTCTAGGACTGACTTGTCGAGGGATCCTAAAAACTATTATAATGGCCACAAACTCAAACAATCAATTTTACGTGGTTCGGCAAACTGCCTACGTCCACGGGGCAAGGAGGGGGAGATCTACTATTAGAAAGAAAAAGAATACAAATAGGTTTACAACTCTCACAATTAAACCCTCAATCTAATCTCTTTCTTCCTCTCTCAAAAGCCGCTGACTTTTTCTTCTTTCTCCTGTGCTGCGCACCTGCTCTCTGCAGCCTTTGTTTTTCTCCTTCAATTCCTGCTCATTTCATGCGTTCACAATTCTCCACCTCGGCGAAGTTTTCTCAAAACTGAGCCGACACCAACCAAACTAAATATCTCACTTGTTGTGTCCAGTACGAAGTGAAACAATTCACGACAATAGACTCAATCCATAACAAGTCGAGAACCCAAATGAGAATGCAAACACTCTCCAAATGTCAGTATTAACTCACCAAATCGATCTCACCCCCATCAAAATCCAAACTCGGCTGCATCATAAAGACTGCCTACGTATCCTCTTGCCCAAGGAATCAAGCCGAACGTAGTTCACCCAAATGGCCTCTAAAGGCCTCAATTCACTAGAAGAGTTCGCAACCCTTTTCCAATATCATCAACTCTGCGGCTGATAGCACCTCCAATGGCCTCAAACACCTCCACCTGAGGTGAGCCAATGGTCATATCCAAACTGTATCTATCAACTGCACTCGAATCAAAACCCAACTCATCATCTGCATCCGAAACCAAATGATCTCCAAGCCGTGTCACATAAGCTGGAATCCCAAATAATGCAGTATGATCTGGAGTAATCTTTACCCAATGTGGAGCAGCATCACTCTCCACCCGCTGCGATACCTCTAAGGTCTGTACAAAACTCTCCACCTGCTGAGAGTCAATTGGCTTCCTCATCGAAGCCTCAACCAAAGTGACACTACCAGACCTATCTTCCAAAGGAGTTTTACCTCCAATCGCAACAGTTGACAACTCTTTAATAGGATGACCCAAATATGTCGAAGCCTTTGTCCAGAACCTCTTCTGCAGACCATTACTTGACAACAAACACCGATCCTCCTCCAGCAAGGCACGGTTCTCCAAATTTGTCACTCTATCTAGTTGCCCCACGATTTCCTTTCCAACGAAGTGTCTCGCAATGCCGTGAGCTCGGCTCCAATGCAGAAACAGGTCCATCTTGTACCTCCGACCAGAAT